ATAAAAAGTTTCATACATGAGTACAATGTATCCATTCCTATTTATCTTATCATAGAGCACATAGGTTTGTCTTGCACTCTGCCAAAACAAATTAATTAATTTAGTGAAAAAAACTAGAAAAACAAGAAAATAAAGTCAATATCAGTAAAGATACAAAGAATAGGAACCCTTACATATTGTTAGTAGGAAGGTGAACTTGTAAACTCACAATAAAATATTGAAGTGTTATTACATACACATAAGAAATAATTTCGTAAGACTGTTATTGATAGCTAACTCATTCACTATATCCCTGTATTTTGTAATAATAATTTCACTCTCCATAGCTTCAACCCTAGAACTGATCCTATGGTAGAAAGATATGCAAATTAGGTCTCCCTCACCACATAAGAACTAGCCCAGACTGAATCTAGCAGTGGGATCCAGTCTTGAGTTTCTCAATTTTCACATTCAGAGATCAGCACAAGACACATAACTATCACTATGAAGTTGTAGCTGAACTGGGTTCTCGTTGTAACACTTTTAAATGGTAATTTATGGGGAACAAGAGTTCCTGTATGTGTGTGCGTGTGCGTGTGTGTGTGTCTGTGTGTGTGTGTGTGTGTGTAACAGGGACAGTAGATGTGTATGACAAGAATTTTCAACTATTGCAGGTATCCAGTGTGAGGTGAAGCTGGTGGAATCTGGAGGAGGCTTGGTACAGCCTGGAGGTTCTCTGAGACTCTCCTGTGAAGCTTCTGGATTCACCTTCACTGATTTCTACATGGATTGGATCCCTCAGGCTCCAGAAAAGGGACTGGAGTGGATTGCTGCAAGTAGAAACAAAGCTAATGGTTACACAACAGAGTAGAGTGCATCTGTGAAGGGTCGGTTCACCATCTCCAGAGATAATTCCCAACACATCCTCTGCCTTCAGATGGACACCATGAGAGCTGAGGACACTGACCTTTATTACTGTGCAAGAGATGTACATAGTGAGAAGACTTCAGTATGAGACCAGACCAAATTTCTGCACATTTTATGATCATGGCTCTCTAACATTGATACCCATCTAGTGAAGGAAATCTTCTCTGATGATTGAGCAAATGACTCAATGTGAGTAAAACAGAGTGTACCAATGTGTCTGCTTTTATGTTAATATCATTGACATGCCTTTTTATTTTTATTGAAATGCCTTTTTATCGCCACAGTTCTGTAATAAAATGTGATGTCAGTGATGATGATGATACATGCAGAACATTTATATTATTTAGGATTGCATTAGATATTTTGAGGCTTTTGGTGATGTTTTCATATGACAATGTTAATTGTCCTTTCAATTCCTAAGAACAATTGTGTTGTAATTTTGATTGGAATTTGATTGAATCTGTAGATTGTTTTTTGTAGGATGGGGATTTCATCTATCTTAATCCTATCAATGCATGAACCTGAGAGATTTTTGATCTATTGATAGCATTTTAAAATTTTTCTTCAGCATTTTCAATATCTTACCATACACATGTTTCACTTGCTTTGTTAGAGTTGCCTCAAGATAGTTTTTAATTTTCTTGTCTATCAGAAAATAGTCCCTGTGGTGGGCAATAAAAGGTGTAATAACATACATACACACACACACATACACACAAACACACACAAACACACACAGATAATTTGATAGTTGAAACAAGTTTTATATGCTCCAACAACTTTATGCATATACATTCATATATACATATATACACTTTTGGTGGATGGAGTTAAGCTCCAATATCTATAGGTTTTCTCCCACTGGTTATATATCTCAGTAAAATCTTTCAAACAGTATAAAGGTTGCCATGTGTTTACATTTTATTTTTCTTCTACTGAATAATTACAATAAACAGTATGTTTCACAAAATTTTTACATGAATAAACATTTTTGAATTACAAGTGTAAAAATGACACCCAAGAACCCACATAAATCTGTAATGAAACAATTTGTTGTAGATGAACAAAGTGTATGCAAGCCAGGTATGATCAGCAACACTCTTCAGCGTTCTCTACTGATGCCTCATGAGCCCAGGGTCAGTTCAAAGCATTTTTCTCAAAACCAGAGATATTTTGTCCCCTGAATAAAGTTTTGGCCATTTATTGTGACTTTTTCTGAGCAGGAGCTTAGTCTCAGAAGGAAGAAGCCTGTTTTTAAAGAGCTCATGGAAGGAATATGGGATAGATTTCCTCATACAGGATTAAGACTTGTTCCTTTTTGCCATACAGTCTGACACAGGTGTCTTTTACCTCACTTAATCAGGATACAGTCTTAATAATGTCAACTCTTGGCCTCATCAATAAGTAAATGATGTGAATATGTTCTGGTCAATACAATGCTATCTCTTATCACACAGTACTACCTAAAAACCCTTACCTCCAAATATTCTGAGTTGACAAGTCTCTACTATGGGCTAGAGCTGGAAAATCTTCTTCCTGTTGACAATGGCTACATTTAAGTGGATCCCCAACTTAGTCCTTGTGGGTGGTCTAGACATTCAGGTGACAGTGACATCAGTTTGCTTTCTCTCCACTGATGTACACTCCAAGGTCCAGCTACAGCAGTTTAGAGTTGAGCTGAAGAGGTCTGGTGCCTCACTGAAGCCATCCTGCAATGCTTCTGGTTATATTTTTACAGGCTACAGTATTAACTGGGTAAGGTGGATGCCTGGAGAGTGGCTAGAGTAGATGAGGTAGCTGAACCTTAGCAATCACAATGCAGGTTATACTCAGAAGTTTCAAGGATGGGTCTCTATGATTAGGGATACATTCTGTAGCACAGCCTACAAGAAGCCCAGCAGACTGACATCTGAGGACTAGCTGTTACTCTATAAAACACTCTAAATAACACTATTCCATGAAATTTGTCCAAATTGTGGTGGAAAAGTGAGTTTCCATGAGTCTGTGATGACAGGGAGAATTAGATGGAGGACTTAATGAGAAAATAGGGTAAATTCCTCAAGTATAGGAATAAAAGTACTTTGAATATATTCTCAATTTATGGACAAATTTCCCAGTCAATTTGCATACAAGCTTCAGGGTGCAGTGTTCCCATTTCATAACTTATTTCTACAGCTCCTGTTGATGTTGATGTGAATGTGTTTTTACCATAATTGGATCAATGTCTTTCAGCAGTTGTTTATCTATATATTAACTCAAGATGTAATTTCTATGATATGGCAAGATTGCTATTGAATTGAAATATCAATGATATCCTGGGTAAAATTTCATTTTTTGAAAATTGAGGAATAATTTCAAATATTCATTCTTATTCCAGAGCCTTATATTATAGCCTTCTTGACTTTTAATATACATCCCAAGAATCACAAGTCTATTAAAGGGTATCATACTTCCAATTATTAAGTTGAGTCATAATGAGGAATATTTTATGTCAGATAGGGAAAGGTGAGGATGGAACTACGTGTTTCATATTACTATTCCAAATTCCCCCAAAATCATGGTGCATGAAGGAATCATATGACAAGTTTACTAAGATTCTTTTTGTGATTATATTTTGTATGAGCAACAAGAATGAAACTAGAACACAATAATGCATACCCATACTGACACATAACCATGTTCCATAGTACCTAGTTTACATGCTTAAATGGGACTTTGGAATTGTGACAAAATACATCTGTTGCTTCAACCATGAAAGTAACATTCAAATGTGTATGATCTAGTTTAGCCAGGTTTAAGTGACCAGAAAGGAGGTCTAGAGGCCTCAAATGAATTATAAGATTCATGAAAATTTGCTTTCCAGATCATGTCTTGTTTTTATTCATAAATCCTCACACAAAACCCTGATAGATACTGAGGGATGTTTAATCTAACTTGGTGTTATTCCATAGATCACTGTGTTAAATGAGCAACAGGAAGTAAAAGGCAAATGTCAAGATCTGAAAGCTTAGGATGGTGAATAGCAAACATGTATCTCTTGTAATATATCAGGAAATCCCAGTTTTCATCTGTAGCATTGCCTCTCAGGTGTTCCAACAGATGGGGGGGGAGTAAAGTTCTTCTTCAAAAAGTACTAGGTAACTGTGATGCCTGATTAGATCCATGCTGTCCAGAGAGCTAGGAGTACTGGTGGCACACAGTGATATTCCATTAATCAGGTTCTGTGACCAATAACTTCTCAGTTTATCTTGCTATGGTCTTTAATGACAGGAATTTTCAGAAAGAGATGGCAGGTTGGATCCAAGAAGCAAGTCCTCTCCGAAATATTTCAGCTAGTTCTCAATAGTCTTGTAACTTAATATGAATATTGCCTTTGGCCTGTTTTCATTGTTTCATAGCAAGAGTCTTGTAAATGGAAGGAATAATGGGAGTTACAAAAATGCTGTTTAACATCATGTCAGGTTTTAGCTCAGTTACAGCAAAGTGTTAAAAGTTAGTCTCCCACAAATTACTATCTAATAGAGATTACTAATTTGACATATATTTTCAGGGTATCTCATTCCTAAGAAACGAGATTGAAACAACCATGGAAATTCATTTATGTTTCGGTAAACATATTCTCAACCTAGTGTAATATATATATATATATATATATATATATGGACCTGATTACTAGGGAAGAAGTTCAGTTCATACAAATCTGTTCGCAACCATAAGAGCCCCAGTTACATCCAAAATTTTCTGGGCTTTACAGAGGTATACCTATGCACATAGAACATGATGCCCAGATCTCTTGCACAACATGAATGTTGACTCATTTACTGTAAATATTCCAATGTTTTTTTTTCCCTAAGGCCTACACAATGTTTCACATATAATTTCTTTTTAAACTGACATTGAAATTCAGACTTGACTAAGAAAATGTTCCCTAGTATATAATTATATTTCCTCTTAAAAGCAAAGAGCAAATCGAAGTCACCTGGAGGAAAACTAGAAACCTTGCTCTGTGCTTCATTTTATCCCCTTAGGAACCTCCCCCAATGCAAAGTAGCCTCAAGGCTTAAAGCTCAGGTCTAGCTGTGGAACTACATCTCCTTCCCACTAGAGCCTCCATCAAAGCATGGCTGTCCTGGTGCTGCTCCTCTGCCTGGTGACCTTTCCAAGCTGTAAGTGTTTTGGTGTTTCAGGAGAGGGTTCCAGGTATATGATCTATCTAATGTATGACTGACAGTGATGTTGCTTGTTCCCAGGTGTCCTGTCACAGGTACAACTGAAGGAGTCAGGACCTGATGTTGTGAAACCCTCACAGACCCTGTCTCTCACCTGCACTGTTTCTGGATTCTCATTAACCAGTAATACTGTACACTGGGTTCGCCAGCCTCCAGGAAAGGGACTGGAGTGGGTGGGAGCCATGGGATGGGATGACAAAACATATTATAATTCAGCTCTAAAATCTCGACTGAGCATCAGCAGGGACACCTCCAAGAGCCAAGTTTTCTTAAAAGTGACCAGTCTGAAAACTGAAGACACAGCCAGGTACTACTGTGCTAGAAACACAGTGAAGAAATTACAGTGTGAACCTACACAAAAACCTCCCTACAGAGAAGCTCAGGACCAGCAGGGGGTGCCAAAGATCATTGTGAAGTCACCTTAATCAGTTGGAATCACTTCAGAAGCTAGCAAGTTCTAGCCTGTGCAGCATAGCATGCTTTAATGTGATAACACATATTTTGTTTTGATTTGATTTGATTCAGCAAGTAAATACCCTAGAGGCATCTCTCCAGTGTCATATTCTATCAACCTTCCTATTTTTCATACACTACTACTAAATATTTTGTCCCACAAATATTCTAATTATACAGTTTCTAATTATTAATAGGCAGAATGGCACATATTATATATATGTTTATATTTGAAAAGGTTTCTGAAATTATGACATTTACTGACTGTGATTTCATTAAGAAAGCTTGGGAGTTTTGAGTAATCTGTCTTTTATATTCTTTATCTTTGTACATGTGATGGAGAAACTGCAGATTCGCTGAAGTTTTGTCACTTTTGATAGGTATCTGGGAAACTAAAATATTCATTGTTCTCTTCTTCTAAAGGAAGGTGATGTATAAAGAGTATAGCTAGTTATAGCTAGTTATCATTTTTGACAGATTCCATTTCATTTTTATATATTTCCCTCTTAAAATTTACCTTGAACTTCATAGTCCCAAGTATTATTTTCTCTTTAGGTGTACTGTGCACCATGAATTCAAGAAAATCTCAAGCACCAGAGCACACATTTCACCTGATGTCAGGTCCTGACTTGGTTCTGTGTCTCATAAACCCTTCCCATAAACAGCTGATTTCTATTATTTTCAGTTTGTACTTTTCTTGTGGCTTTTGCTGCCTACAAGGGCTCCCAGTACTAATCCTCTGGGACTTTCTGTTACCATTGAAAGGAATAACCTGGTATCTTATGTATCAGATAGAGAAGTGTAATTCAGAAGAGTAGTGTTGACTGTGGACTCCATGCTAATGGGTCATGTACATGAGGCAGCTTCAAAAGGAAAAGAGAACCTGTTCTTCTAAAGCTGAAGCTTCTAAGTGAACTTTTTGCAGTGACACCAGCAATGATTGATGAAGCCTTGGGGATGAAATTGATTAGTTTAGTAGAATCCTGATATCAGAAAATAAAATAGTGAATTTAAGAACTCTATATGATGCCGAACACAAGGATTTACTATGTTACCCAGGGTCTGGCTAAGAAACTTCGTACATTACTACTGATGAGACCAAAGTATTAGTGTTTGGATAAATATATCAGAACCATTATCTAGAGGTTCTAACTTCCAAACATTTATATTCTGACCCAAAACATATGTAACATGCTATTGAGATTCTATTGCTACTTTTAAAGACTATCCGTACATCTATATTAAGATAAGTAAACTATTAATCAAAGAAGTGAAAACAAAGTTCCACCTCTGAAATAGAATCAAAGAACCAATAAAATATGGAGAGTCCCTGAAATCATCTTCTCTAGAGTATGTCCTGTATTTAATTCTAAATAGTTATAAAGAAGAAGGAGACCAAGGTAACATCAATGGTGAATCATCACACACAACACCTCACCTGAACAATTAAAGTCACAACAATGATAGTAAACATTCTATTTTTAAAATTATTCTCTTATACATCCTGACTGAAGGTTTGTCTCCCTCTACTCCTCAGTTTCTTTCATACCTCTCCTCTCCACCAGATATAAAAGTAAGTATTCTTATAACATGCACCATGTGTTTGAGGTTCTTCCACACTTTCTCCTCTATTAATTTCAGTCTATCTGGTTTTACGTGGAGGTCCTTGGTCCACCTGGACTTGAGCTATGTACAATGAGATAAGAATGGGTTGATTTGCATTCTACATGCTGACCTCCAGTTGAACCAGTACCATTTGTTGACAATATTGTCTTTTTTTCACTGGATGGTTTTAGCACCTTTGTCAAAGATCAAGTGACCATAGAGGTGTGGGTTCATTTCTGGGTCTTCAGTTCTATTGCATTAGTCTATCTGCCTGTATCTGTACCAACACAATGGAGATTTTTATCACTATTGCTCTTTAATATAGCTTGAAGTCAGGGATGGTGATTCCTCTAGAATTTCTTTTATTGTTGAGACTACTTTTTGCTATCCTGTGTTTTTTGCTATTCCAAACGAACTTGAGAATTGCTTTTACTACCTCTATGAAGAATTTACTTGGAATTTTGATGAGGATTGTATTGAATCTGTAGATTGCTTTCAGCAAGATGATCATTTTTACAATATTAATCCTGCCAATCCATGAGCATGGGTGATCTTTCCATCTTTTGAGATCATCTTTGATTTCTTCAGAGACTTGAAGTTCTTGTCATACAGATCTTTCACTTGCTTGGTTAAAGTCACAACAAGTTATTTTACATAATTTGTGACTATTGTGAATGATGTCATTGCCACAATTTCTTTCTCAGCCAGATTATCCTTTGAATAAAGGAAACCTACTGATCTGTTTAAGTAAATTTTATATACAACCAATTTGCTGAAGTTGCTTATCAGCTGTAGGAGTTCTGTTGTGGAATTTTTGGGGTCACTTAAGTATACTATCATATCATCTGCAAATAGTGATATTTTGACTTCTTCCTTTCCTATTCGTATCCCTTTGACCTCTTTTATTGTCTAATTACTCTACTTAGAACTTCAGGTACTATATTGAATAGATAGGGAGAGAGTGAGCAGCCTTGTCTAATTCCTAATTTTAATGGGATTGTTTCAATAATTTCCTACGATGGTCTTTCATAATGATGAAAAATATTACTTTAATATGGAAAGTCAACAAGATAACAATAATTAGCTATTTTACAAATCATATATAGGTTTCTCTTTGAATGTATTTTATACAAATATTGATGGAACCATTCAGTTCTCAATTGTGAAGATGGTCCCAAATAAAGTGTCTGATCCTGATTCAGTCAGAACAGATATAAAAAAGAAATTCAAAATTGATGGAACCATTCAATTCTCAATTGATTGTGAAGATGGTCCCAAATAAAGTGGCTGATCCTGATTCAGTCAAACAGATATAAAAAAGAAATTCAAAAGTACCTGGCAACCTCAAATCTATTATGTTTTTCTTCCAATTTGAAGTGATATCATTACTCTTCTTACTGTGTTAAATTGTTTGAGTTATTTAGAGACTATAAGTTATATATGTATGTGGTAAAAAAAAATATTAAGACCTCTAAAGTTTTCCAAGTAGTGAGAAGGATTCACGAAAGTTAGTTAATCATAGATTTGGATTATAATTTAAAAACTAACATCTTGGAGGTTTCCTGGGGCAGCCTTCCCTCTATCTGAGCATGAAAGAAGGGTAGAGAGTGTTTGGGTGGGACTGAGAGGAGAGGAGGGAGGAGCTGCAATGGACATTCAAAGTGAATAAACTCATATATATATATATATATATATATATATATATATATATATATATACATATATTTCAATCCTGTTTAGCTCTTCTTGAACTCTGGCCAACTCATTCAATTCATCTGTTTTGTTCAAAACTCCTCTCCAAGCTAATTGATTCAAAGACTTCACTTATGTCTAGATTATTTTCTTTGCAACCAGTCTTTCTATAGATGTGCCAATAAAAATACTTATGAAGTCCACAAACTGATCTTCCACAAATTCAACTCCACCATGTTGCCTTTCAACTGATCAAACTCCACTCTGCTCAACTGAACTGACTGCATTCACTGAACGCTTCCTCTCCTGTGTGTTCTTTTGAGAGTTTGTTGTATATTATATCTGACTCACTCTGTCAAATCTTTCTCTGAGGACTACCAACGAGGTTTTGAGAATTGTATTCCTCCTCTCCTTCTACATTTTAAATAACATTCTTACTATAGTTGTACTGAATTGATATTTAAAATGATGGCATTTATCCAGTCAACCATCTTGTTCTCAAATACATGACCAGATTGTTGAATGACCACACAGTTATTGTTTGAGAAGATAAATCATAAGATTTACTTATTATGCATGAAGAACATAATACATTGTTATTTGTTGTGGCCAACACACATACAACTTATTATTTGGGTTAATCCTGCTCAAATACCTGATGACTAATCTCACTGTACACTCTCAAAGCCATAGTCATACTGCCATGACTTTTACTTTATCTAATTTTACTTTATCTGAGATCAGTTTTTTTTTTAGGTTCCATTTTATAAGAAGTTCATATGTTTCCTTATTCCCTGGCTGTTGCTGAATGAAAACCCTCCAGGTTCATCCAGCTCAATGTGATATTTAAATGATATGAACATAACTGCAACAAACATGCAAGGAAAGGTAATGAATGCTCATTGGGGTACTGTAGAAGCAGGTCAGTGTTTCAGAAAGCATAATGCTCTTACAAGGGAACCAGGATCAGTTGTTGGTACCAACAGTGGGCTGTAATATTCACCTGTCAGTATTGAGGTCTTTAGGCTTCCTTCAGCACTAGTTTACTCAAATAGAAACATAATTTAAAATTTTAGATATATGATAGATAGATAGATAGATAGATAGATGATAGATAGATAGATAGATGATAGATAGATAATTGATAGATAGATAGATAGATGATAGATAGATAGATAGATAGATAGATAGATAGATAGATAGATAGATAGATA